ACATACGTTTTTCTTAACAAGGGTGCAATTGGAATTTAGGTGATCCACAGATAAACATGTGAATCTGTGAGTTGTGTAAGCGGCTTATTAAAATTGCATATTAGTAAAAGTGAGTCATTTTATTTGATATTTTCTGATTTTATATTTTTTAGAGTCAAAATGATTTATACATTACACAAAGCAGTATAGGGAACAAATAAGTAAACAGATAGTAGAGGAGATAGAGATAAGTGGCAGAATAAAGGAAGGGACAGAAAGAAACAGGAAGGAGCTGGGAATGTAGCCCAGCAGTATAGCACCTACCTACCTGGTAAGTGAAAGGTCCTGAGTTCAATTTCCTGTATCAGAAAAAAAGAGAAAGAAAAGCGATTTGAAGGATGCCTTTCTATAGCTTTTTAGGGTTAGTTGTTAGAAACTGATATCTGATTTAGGCTGTAGGCCTGGATCTCCCTTTCTCTGCTTTCATTAAAGCCCTGTGGAGGCTGAGTGTAGCATTACACTCAGGAGGCTGAGGCAGGAGGATCACCTAAAGTTTGAGGCCAGCCTGGGCTGCATTGTGAGATGCTATCTGGGGGAAAAAAAAAAAAAAACACCCAGTGGAGCATCTTTCTGGAATGTCAAAGTTAAGTGATAGTAATATAAATATACTTATTCAGTTTTATTGTATTCACTGAGACCAAATCCTGTTTTAGACCAGAGTATATGGAAAAGGGAGGTAGGTGTGGGGATTGGACTGAGAAGACATCTTACAGAAAGTGAAACAAACTGAGATCTGGAAAATAGCTTTGGGAAGCTTTGAGAGCCCACAGAGAGAGACAGAGAAAATTGGAGATGGGAAGAAAAAGAAGGCCTTTAAGCCATATCAGGAGACTAGATAGGTCTTCAGTGTAATGGGAATTTGAACGACTTGATCAGATTAGTATTTTGCAAAAATTACACTGATGGTGAAAGTAGAAAGTGATTTGTAGAGGAGCAAGGCTGAGGTAGATAGCAGCACATCATTGTGCTCCGCCTGATGATGGAGCTTGGACTAGGACAGTGGAGAGAAAAGGAATGGATTCAAGAGCTATTTGGTGATCCTGCTAGAGAAGGTGTTATGATTGAGTGTTGGAGTGAGGGAAATGAAGATTTCCAAGTAAATGCCAAGCCAGGGAAATGAAAATAACATCCTCGGGGTGGGGCACTGGCGGGATGGCATCCTGAGTTCAATTTTGAATATAGTAGATTGGTACCTGTGTGATATCTCATTAGTTGGGTTAGGGGACAAAAAGTGGCTTTTGGGGGGTTTTATTTGTGCTCAGGAGAACAAAAGGGAAAGCGCTAAGAGGTTGAGGAGGGAAAGAAGGCTTAATGGACAGAACAAAAACTTGTGCTGGGGCCAGGGAGATGGCTCAGTGGAATAAGCGCTTCCCTGGCAAGCGCAAGGGCCTGAGTTCAATCCCTGGTTCCACCAAAAACAAACAAACAAACAAAACTTGTAGTCACATGTAGAAGAGACCACTCATTTCTTAGAGCTGTAACTGGTGTGCTTGCTGCTTGTGTTCACTGTGTGTGCTTTTTGCATTGGGCACACAACCACAGCCTCATCAGAACAACTGTTGATCATTAGTAAAAAAGAGAAGACAGCTGAGCTCCAAGGCTAGCACCTGACAGGAGGATTTCTTACAGCTTTCCTGTAGCACTTAGAGATGGTTCGTTCAAGAATAATTATGAGGAGAGGGTCTATGTCATCTTAATTCCACTTAGATTTTAAAGTAGAATTCTAAAATACTTGATTTTTTTTTTTTTACAGTGTGTGTGTGTGTGTGTGTGTGTGTGGCCAGCTCAGCCCACCAGGGGGCGGGGCTGGCCGGCATGTGGTGCTGGAGGATTGAACCGCGGTCCCTGTGCTTTCCAAGCTTGTTCCAAGTAGGTGCTTTAGACCACTGAGCCATCTCTCCAGCCCCATACTTGATTTTTTAATTGATGAAATTTCTGTTTGTGGTGTCATAAACAGTGTATGACTTTTATCGCTGTGTTACCTAAAAGAAAGTTGGGTATGATTGTTCAAATTAGCAGTTTACTGACATTGCTTAAAACTTGTTTTTCTTTTTTTAAAGAAATGGCTGCAAGCAGTTGACCTCACTAGAGAAGTATACCAGCATCTAGCCCACTATGTACCCAGAATCTACTGCAGGGGTCCCAACCCTTTCCCGCAAAAAGAGGACATGCTGGCCCAGCATGTTTTGCTGGGCCCGATGGAGTGGTACCTTTGTGGTGAAGATCCTGCATTTGGATTTCCAAAACTTGAACAAGTGAACAAACCTTCTCATCTTTGTGGCCGTGTTTTTAAAGTAGGAGAGCCTACATACTCTTGCAGGTAAGACATTATAATTTTCTTTCTAAAGCTTATTTTTTCATGATCTCTCTCTGAAACCTTTAATTTTTTTTTAATTTTAAAATTATGAAATACGGGATGTACACATAAAATTCCACATCACAAACACATATTGTCTAATAATTATATAATGAATGCTAATACACTTGTTTTCCAGAGGAAAAACTAGGTGTCACCACCATCTCAGGAGCCTGCTAGGTGTTCAGATTTAAGTTTCGTCTTCAGCAGAACCACCCTAGAACCCACTTGTTAGAGTCTTTCCCATGGTTTAGGATTCTGTGTCTGATGATGATGCTGATCATTTGATTAAGGAGAGGTCTGCAAGACTTCACAGTGAAGTTACTCTTTTTCCCTCTAATCAGTGTTCTTTTGGGGGAGTACTTTATTGCTATTAAACACCCTCTTCTTTGTAAACTTTCAGCCTAATTGTTTTTGATACCAAGGATAGAATCTACAGTTTATTTGTGTAGGTATCTAATCATAATTAGATAGTCCTAGATTTGGCCAGTAGGAGCCCTTTTAGGCTGTCTTTGTACTTTTTCATATCCTCCTCATTCTTAGAGAACCTCCTTTCTTGCTGGCACAAGGTGTCTCAGACACATATTAAGTTTTTCCTTAAGACCTGAGATTGTTTTCCAAGAAGACTGGTTCCTTCTAGTTTAGAATGATGTGTAGAAATAAGACAGCAGGTGGATGGGGATGCTTGTTGCTGAGGTTGCGGGGGGTCTACCCCCAGACCTTCTCCATGGAGCTATATGTATTTTTCCTCATGGATCTATATTTTGTATCAGTATAAACATCAAAGTAGATATTAAAAACATGCATTTGGGGGCTAGAGAGATAGCTCAGTGGAATAAGTGCTTGCCTGGCAAGTGCAAGGTTCTGAGTTTAATCCCTGGTACCAGGAAAAAAAAAAAAAGGAAAAAACAAAACAAAACATGCATTTATAGTGCTCTCTCCAGTTGCAGTCTCCTTACCCTATGGTTCTTTCTAGTTTTCTCCTTTTGTATGTTTTTAACTGCCTGATCTCACAGGAGAAATGTTAGTCTCATTTTCCTCAGAACATTTACTTACTTTATCATTCCCCTGTATGCACCCATTCCTTTGCTTTTTTGCTACTGCCTCTACCTGACTGTCTTGTGAAATTGCCCTCACTTCATTAGGGCTCTGTAATGGGGCTGTGGGCTGTCCTGGGCCATGGTGGCCTTCATGTGCTGCTTGTTAGGGCAGATCCAAAATAAGCCTCGTGGAGCCAGGGAGATAGCTCGGTAGAATAAGCGCTTGCCTGGCAAGCACAAGGGCCTGAGTTCAATCAGTTCCGCAAAAAATATATAAATAAATAAAAATAAAAATAAGCCTCGCTCTAGAGTGTGTAGTTATTACTCCATTGTGTGGCATTTCTGCTGTCTAGCATGGATTCTGCCCTGAAAGGACTCGCGCCCTCCAGCCCAGTGCAAGGCTTCCTGGGGCTTTGGGGTACTCTCAGTTCCTCAGTAGCCACTCTGGGCTCACTATAGCCCACTCCACCATGCAGACTTCACACTTCCCCATGCTGTGCATTCCACAGAGTGTAGCTACCTTCTTGTCCTAGGCTCCACTCCACAGGGCCTCCCTCTCTGCTCAGACTCTAGCTGTGCCATAGGTGCAGTGGGAACATCCCCTTCGGTGAGAGTCGGGCTGTTCCAGGCTCACCTCTGCACGTCCCCTTTGTCATTGCAGTCTTTTGCTACCTGCCCAGTCCCTGGAAAGAATTGCCCTCATCTGTTTTGTCTCACTTTGTGATTGTTCACAGGGGGAATATCCCTGCTTGGAGGGGGTAGTGCAGTGCCAGTTCTCCTGTTACTACTCTAGAAGTCCTGACTTTAGTGTAGTCAGTGAAAGTTGCTTTTTTTGCTGAGCACCTTCTGGGTGATTATAATCATGTTTAATCCTTCTATAGCCTCTAAGATAATTAATATCCTTGAGGAACTGAGGCTCCAAGAAGTTAAGTGATTCACCTGGCTTCATTAAACCTGAAATCAGGTTTGATGATACAGAAGGAAAACAAGCCTAAACTCATTTTCTCTTTCTCCTAAAGTACACTCACAACACAGATCCCATCGGGGGTTCTGAAATGTGTGGCAATGTCTCTTCCCAGCAGGCAAGCGGTCCATTCTGCACTGGACACCCACTATGCACCCTCTGGGCCAGCTCACTTCTGGCTCTGCCACGAGGTGCTCAGAATGTTTACTGGTTTATTATGGAGGATATGATGAAGAATACAGATGAGATGCCATGCCCTCTCGGGGGAGCTTTCTTCTAAGTTACCTCCAGGTGTGTAGCTGCCTGGATGCTCTTCAGAGTCTGTACCTTGGGGGTTTGCTGACTTTAGTTTGATTGTGGGTTTTTGAGATCAAACTTGAGGCCTTCTGCATGCTAGTCAAGCATTCTGCCACTGAGCTACACCCCAGGTCTTGTATAATTTTGAGTCAGGGTCTTGCTAAGTGGCCCAGCGCTGGGCTGGAACTCCCAACCCTCCTGATCAGCCTTCCAGAGTCCCAAAGTATCAGGATTGCCAGCATGTACCACCATACCCAGGTTCTTTGTGCGACTTTGTAGGTACTTGTTGCCTGAGCATGACTGAAGCATGGACAGCTGTGTAGACAAAATTGTGGACAAAACTGCCTATCGTGAACTATAGACTGGGTGAGGACACCTGGCAAAATCTCTGCAAATTCTCCTTGGCCTCTGTGCAGCACTCCTTCTGCCAGCTATGGAACAGTCCCCATCCTAGATTGGGGCTTATGATTGACTATCAGAATTTATTTATTGCCAACTCCAAGACAGAAAGGCAGGGTAAGATTAGAGTGTATTTTTAGTTCCTGTGACCCAGTTTTGGGGAAGAGAAATGGAACAGGTTAAAGGACAGGAGAAGGTCAGTGAGTTTGCTTTCTGAGACCCCAAACTGTTTTACTCATTTAGAAAATAAAAAGGGCAATAGTATGAGCCAGGAACTATGGATAAAAACATATATATTATATATGAATATATATGGATAAAAAATATATATCAGAATACCACAGTATGCTTCTCTAATTCTTTTTTTTTTTTTTTTCTTCTTTAATTCTGAAGTCCATGTTCTTTTAACTTAACCCCTTTATTTTCACATATTTGTCTATTACACAATTTTCACTCATACACAGTAAAAGGAAAAATGGAGTGAAATTTTCTTCCAGCAAAACTGAAATTCTTAGAAATGTCTTTGATTAAAAATATTGATATATGAAATGATGACAGTGTACTAGTTAGTTTTATTTGTTTGTTGTTTTTGATACAGGGGAATTAAACTCAGGACCTCGCACTTGCCAGGCTCGTGTCGTGCCGCTGAGCTACATTCCTTGCTTTTTTTTTTTTTAATATTCTTAGTAAAAAAAAAATTAGCAACCTTTTCTTTGGCTTTTCTTTCTTTCTTTTTTTTTGTCTTTTCTACTGATCACAAAAACTTAGAAATTTGGGAACTGGTATACACCATACTGGTTCCAGAGTTTTATTGATTTTCTACTCTTTCCCAGTTGAAGTCAACCGCGTGTAGTGCCTCGTACAGACTAGGTATTCAGCAAACATTTATTGAGCAAAGGCCTGTTCTGTTGTTCAAAGTGCAAGGCCCAGTTTTAAAGACGTTATTTTACTTTTCCTATGTCAGTTAAGCTGCTTAAGTCATCCAGTTAATTGTGCATTTCCATATTTGTCCAATGGCAGTGCCGTATTTACTGATCCTTTTTAGGATGTTAGTCATCATGCAGGGGAAAATCCTCCGCATTCTGAGCATTACAGCTTCAGATATTCATTCTTACATCCAGCTTTACCACAGTACATAGGTTGTTCATCTTACTTAAGAATGTTACCGTTTTGGGAACTGGGGTGATAGCACAGTGGAATAAGTGCTTGCCTGGCAAGTGCAAGGTCCTGAGTTCAATCCCTGGTACCACCAAATAAATAAATAAAGCAAGATTTTAAAAATATGTTACCATTTCATTTTTTCTTGAAGATTCTTACCCAATATTCAGGAATTTTGGGCAGGGGAGATAGCTCACCGGTATAAGCACTTGCCTAGCAAGTGTAAGGTCCTGAGTTTGATCTCTGGTAACAGCCTTCCCCCCCCCCCCCCCAAAAAACCGTGTGCTGAGACAGCAAATGAGACTGGGCATGGTGCGAGCCTGTAATCCCAGCGGTTGGCAGGTTGAAAACAGGAGGATCACCATGAGCCCAATCTGTGTAGTGAGACCTGTATAGCCATGACAAAAAAAAAAAAAAAAGATATTCAGGAATTGTGTTGATCCCAGGAATCCTACCCATGTCTGTTCGTGAATCCACCTAGAGTAGGAAAAATTCATTGTTTGAGTGCTTTAGAGGGAACCTTGGTCAAATTTGCAGAGTCGGGTCTGGCATTACCAGAAGAGAAAGTAAGGAGAAATTCATTCCCAACCGCTTTGGAGGAAAGGAATGGAACAGTAGGAAGAGGAATATAGCTCTTCCCTTAAAGTGTTCCATAGGAACTTTTTGCATGAATTTGACGCTGTGATGTGCCTGAGGTTTTGTGGTTGAAACTGAGGCAAAGATGACATCCACAGATTTTTCCTGTAGCAGATGCTGGGAGACTTGAACCTAGGTAAGTCATTTGGGAATTTCTTTGAGATAGAAATTAATTTTACTGGTATCTGGAAAGTAGTGGGTAATTATTGATATCACTCTAGATTTCTACTTAGAAGATATATATGCTCAGTGAAAGGGAAGATAGGAGGAATACTTGATGCGAGGAAAGAATTTCCACCTTCGTGCCACGTAGAGCCATAAGGATGTGTTCACCAAGGACAGAGGACGTGCACAGCAGCCTCTGCCCTGGCGAAACATGTCTTGGTTATAACATTCAAAAGGTATAGCAGTGTGTACCATGAAAAATACCTTCCCTTCTCCACCCTGTTTGTCACCCTAACCCTAACCTA